GTTTTGTCCAAACACAGTGTATATTTAATTTATATTAGCTCATGAAATACAAAAGTTCCATGCAAACTGTGAAGTTCTTCTAGGAGACAGAAACTCTTTTTTACAGGAGACATTTGGACACATCCAAATAGGTTGAACATAAGGAGCTTTTAGTCAGTCCACTTAAAAGTTGCTCCAGGCCTTTCCTAGGGCTTCTGGGTGCACATCTTTCACATTTTCTCCTGTGAACTCCTTAAAGCAGTGTATTTAGATTCCTATGTAGAGCTGGACTGTATAAGCTGGAAGTGTTCATCATATTGTTTGGTATACCTCAGCAAAGCTGGTGCCCTGCTTTTACCTCCTCCCAGAAAATTGAACACTGGACCCCAAAAGCTCTCTCATATGTCCTGTCAGAGGAATGGGAAGCAGACTTGATAGTAGGACAGGGCTATGTGGAGTGAGAAATAACCTGTTACATCTGGAAGGTATTTTCAGTAAAGCTGTATTTGGAACTTTGATCCTGAGGTTTCTGGTCAGTTAAAATCATTTGAGGACCTTCATCTAAAGAGCTCCATGCAGAGGCATGGATTTTGTAGTCAAGCAAAAGGCTGGAGTTTTTAGGACATGTGAATTTCCCATCCTTTCAGAAACCTCCATGACTTGGGATTGGGAATATTTATGTCCTATCTGGGCAGCCTCGATGGTTGAGGTTTGAGAGTAAATTTGGGTGCTGGAGTGGCTGAAAGTCGCCCAGCTGTGCCACACTGCCAGACTTTCCAGCGTCGCGGGGTGATGACGTTTAACTGGAGTTTGGTGTGGGAGTGAGGGAGACTTGGAATCACCAGTAAACTCCTGCCACAACCATGGCTGCTGAAGGCAAGTGCCTGTGCCAAGTTGCTCTCCAGAAGCACCTATTTTGTCAACAAAGGTTTATAACATTATCACCCGGGACAAAGAGAGCATTACCCACTTGAGGGGCTGCTGTAAAGTCGCTTGCCCTTTGCTGCTTCTGCCTCTGATTTTTGGGGGAGTGGGAGGGGAAGGGAAGTTGTAAGGCGCGGTGACAGTGGAGAGGGGAACGCAGTGAGAGGAGCCCCTGCTGGCATGGCCAGTCTGAGCCATTCAGCAGGGCTGAATACGATAAATGCTGCTTTATCCTTTCTTGAATGGAACAAGATAGCACAGCCTAAATGCCTGGGTGTGCTTAAATAGGCAACTCGGGGATGCTGGAGTTGAGGGCGTTTGAAATTGGAGCTCCCCAACAGCCAGGGAGCTGCCACAGGTCACCTGCCTCACTCCGTGGGGACTGGCCTGGGTCTGGCAAGAAATCGTCCACGGACGAATTGTAGTACAAATTCCTTCCTCTGTTGGTTGGCCTCTTTCACTAGACCATGGCCTATAAAAAATTGTGTAAAAACAATTCTTAAATATTATTTGAAAGGGCAAACGGCCACGCTGAAAGGTTTGACAGTTTGACATATAGCGCCTGGTTCTGCTCGCCAGGGAACGGGCGTGCGGAGTCTGGGCTCTCCTTCTGCTCCTTACAGGCTCTGCATTTGCTTTTTTTTTTTTTTAAATAGCATCTAGTTGCTGTGTAGAGTTGCTGTGCTCCCAGCAATTTGACAGGCAACGAGTCTGCTTCAGTGATCTTAAATCCTTTTAGACTAATTTGCGAGCGAGCAGAAAAACAGCTAGCACCTTCGGATCCAGCACTCAAAACCAGGGAATCAGGTACTGCCAATTAAAGTGCCATTTCCAACCATCATATCAAGACAGATTACTTGCAGTCCCTCTGATAATGTCACGCCATGCCTAAAGAGAAAGTGAGATGGAGTTTCTCCATGGACAAAAGATCTGCATGGACCAAACTGATCGGGGAGTGGGGCAGAGGGAGCACGATGGGGATCATGCACACACCCATGCATATGTGCAGCATAAAGGCGAACGCTGCGCCCGCTTTGACCCCAAATAGCCATGGGCCATTCTGAAGAGCCTGTGGCCCCTCAGTCACTGGCCTACTAGTTAATTGCCACACGGACTTCGTGACACATGGGCAGATAATATGACATTTTCGGTTTCTGTCACTAGCAAACGCCACGGCGTTGCTTGCACTAGTTGCTAAGAAGCTGTCAGAAACCATTAGCAGCTGGCTAAAGTTGCCCTATGGCATTTCCTCATGGCATCAGCAAAACAAGCATAAATCACCCAGCGGAGCCTCCCGCTATACTAATGAGGCTGTAAGCTTGTTTATGGACTACCATCATTTCTATGATTATTTCCACCTTTTCAGTTCGCCTTCATTTGGCGGCAGGAGAAGTCAACTCCAGGAACAGAGTTGCCACCGACATTTTACAAATGCAGTTCGTAGCTGCTACCGTGTGGCTGGTCAGTGGTGCTTCGAGTTTGTTTAGTGATCTTTAAAAGGAGGAAAAGAGGGGGGAGGAAAAGAAAAGGAGGGGGGAATCTCTGGAGACCTCACAGAGGTGAGTGTATCGAGTTGCAAAGTAGATGGAAATACTAAAATCCACAATTGACCATTTAGACTTCTCTCTGTGGTTTCAGTCTTTACGGGATCAATTTTCCATTTAAAAAAAGTGGAAGAGGTTAAACAATTTACAGAAGCATTTGCTCCGAGGATAGCCGGCCGCTTTCTTATCCTCTCCCCGCTTTTCACTTTCTCTAACTTGTGTTGGTCGAGGCCAGGGTTTATTGTTTTAGGCTTTTCTGAACATACACCAGTATTTACACTGGATTGAAAGCATTTGCTTCCAATGAAAATCTTGTCTTAGATTACAGCCCAGCAGTGTAATTTCCCTCCCAGATGGGAGTAAAGTAGCAGTATTTGCCTAAAAACAGTAGGAAGAACAAACTATGCATTAAGCCAAGGCTGTTTTTGGCTTGAGCTAATGATGTAACAGAAACCTTTTATTTGGGATAGGTCACTGCCCGGGATTGAAGGAGGTGATCTGGCTCGCGCTTGAAAGGTTTCTCCATTGTATCTACATAAGTCTTCACTTAAAAAATCCTGTTCCTAATGCTTCTGCTTTCATACAGCAGAAATAAACAGGAAAGGTTCTGGGGAGTGTTATAGGTGGAATGCAGAAAGCTTTTCCTCCCCTAATGGAGGATATAATTCAGGTGCCCTGGAGGCATGCTTTCAGGAATTCTTTTGCCCGAGGTAATGGGAAGCTAAGGCTGCTTGAAGGCCTTGATTATCTATTGATGCACAAAGCTGGAAAAAAAAGTCATCTCCCTTGGATTATAGTAGATATTTCCATAAATTATCAATGAGTCCTCCTCCCGTCAGGCATGAGGCAATGCCTGCTAAATTAATCTGAAGGGGGTTTGAAATGAGTATATTTTTTTTAAAAATGGGGTGGGGGGAGAGGGTGGGTGGACGATGGCAGGGAGGTGGTGAAAGGCAGTGTCATTAGGTTAGAAGCTTTTCATTTTTAATCAATGAATGCGTAATACTTTTCTTTTCCTTGTTTGCCTCTTGCAGACAGAAAGTAGATTAGCCCGTGGAATTTTAAATGCTGTTGAGTTGTTTCCTTTGCTCATGTTTCTTTTATGAATTATTATTTTATATGGTGAATTGCTTCTCTGTATAAAAGCCCTTTTTTACGTACTGGGCTTTCAAAGAATTTGTTGGATATCTAATTTCTTCATAAAAATCCTGTGTTTGTCTGTAACTATCCAAGGTTACAGTTTCATTAAAGACACAGACCAAGTCATAAGGACAATTATAAATTTGCCACGGTCAGTAACATGCTAAGAATATAACACTAATAATAGCGTTGGTGCTGAAAGCTGTTAACAAATCATGACAGTCTGCATCCCTTTTTTAAAACATATTTTATTTTTGTCGCTAACAGAGATAGTTTGTATTCAGCCAAACTGAGATTACTTTCTTCATCATTCTTGCCCGGGGGTGCAAAAAACACTTCCCTAATAACATCACAACTCCATGTTGCTACAAATACATGATCTTTGTAAGCCAGGATATGTTGTTCAGTCCACATGCATTCAACACAAAGACTTACTTGCTCTGTGGGCTTGTTTATAAACTGCTTTCAGTGTTTGCAACAAAAATTGCATGCAAACTGCTAGGCACTGCAACTTTTGTTTTCCCTTGGCCGCTAAGCCATCAGCCCAGACCCAAGCAGGCTGTTACACAGTGGCATCCTCCCACAGACGTGTTGCTGATGTGATGAGAACTGTCTGAGACCTTCTCTGCGTTAAGGAAATTCATTCTGGATCAGCGGTTGTTTCACAGAAGCAGACACCTATTACAAATATGGCACACTGGCACAAAGCAGGGTGTTAATTCCTAATGGTGTATGTCAAATTGGTGCCTGCTTATCCCCCTCTGAATTTCTTTTGGCTGGGGCTGGGAAGAGGGGACCCAGTTAGCTACCCACTCCCATCGAAGAATTAGGGGAAGTCCAACATCTGTAAAAGACTTAACATATGCAATGCCTCAATCATCTGTTTTTTTCTGAATTTGCTGAGAGAATATGATGTTGCAAGGGAGCTGCATTCACCCCACTTTTCACACCCCAGGGCGGGATGAGGCACCTAGCTTCACACACGTCATGATCCCCATCCCAGAACACCATTGATACTTTCCTAATTGTCAGCTCAGCCAAAGTAGCTGACTGGGATGAATCTTTGGGAAGTGACCTAGTGTGAAGAAGAGCCAGCATTTCCACCTTTGCAAGTTGCGTGCTTGCAAATATTTTTTTGTAATTTGTAAGCACTTTTTGTTGTGGGTTACAATGGCGGAGATGGCCACAATGTCCTTCAAGATAAACCGGCGTGGGGCTAACACATTTCTGAGCCCCTCCCTCTCCCCGTGTCTCTTCCCCCCCCCTTCCCCCATCCCCTCAACCCCTGGTGAATTACGGTGTTAAAGAATTTATACCTCATTTAAATATTCATGCAGTTTATACCCAAAGCCAGGCTTCGGCTGAAGTATATAAAGGTAGCATAAGTCAAAATTTGATTCACTATATTTACAGGTGACGGCTTGGACAACAGTGTAGCTTCCCCCAGCACAGGTGATGATGATGATCCAGATAAGGACAAAAAGCGACATAAAAAGCGTGGCATCTTTCCCAAAGTAGCCACAAATATCATGAGGGCATGGCTGTTCCAGCATCTAACAGTAAGTGAACTCTAGATCACATATGCAAAATAAAACATGGATAATGTCATAGTTGTAGTAGTCTTAGAAAGCAAAAAATACGTATGATGTTGCTGCCAGGCAGTAGAGGGACTTTTCCGAGCAGAGTTGTTGTTGTTGCCTCATTTGCTAGATGCCAGGGGAAGAGCATAGAGCATATGTTTTTATGGTATGGGGTTTTTTCTGTGTGTGTGTGTTGTTTTTAGATTTGTTTGTTTGTTTGTTTGAGACACAGTTGTTAAGAGGACATCACTGCCAAATGTGATTTTTACTTAAAGCTTATATGAATACAACCTTGCAGACCTGTCCTGCTTTGCAGTGGGAATCACTGCTTTGGAGCACAGAGCAGCATTTGGCCCCTGGTTCTGTGCTCCAGAGAATTGCAGAAAACAATTGGGGAGATTAAAAAACAAAGCCAAAAGCAAACAAAGACCTTATTCAGATGTTTGTCAGAGATCATCAGAAGCTTCATGATGAAAGGTCTGAATGTATCTGGTTTAATAGCAAAGTATAATTTTTTTCTTTGAGACGTTCTCATTCCCAGAGTGTAAGTTACCCCTGTATTTAATGTTAGGGAGTGGTGGGGGTATGCACAGTTATTTCTGTTACCACAGCTACCTCTATGGGGTTTTTTATTCCTGGGATTAGAAATCAAAGCTCTGTACAGGTGTGTGGGGTTAAGCTGGATGCTGCTTTCAAGGCTTTATAAGATGCACCACACCTTCTAACATTAGCCTTTAGAAAAGTGTTTCTAATGCCATTCTCCTTCTTCATCAAATTGTGGTGATCTGTCACTGTGTTTTTATCCACAGTGGGCATCTGGGCTTTGAGCCCCAGGGTTTTGCCTCAGCCTTTCTGTGCTAAGAGGATAAGGGTCAGGCAGGGGCTGCTGGAGTGTCTGCAGGTGGTGGTGAAGAAGGGCTCCTGCCTCTAACCCCAGTAGCTGACTCTTTCCACTGCATGTAGCTAGGGTCAGGATGAAACTAGAAGCTGGCCAGCTTGCCCAGCCCTGGTGGGAGCTGTGCCAAGGGTGTACTCGTAAAGCAGAGGAAGTGCTCATGCACATCACCCCTCCATCCCCTGCTGAGCCAAGAAACCAGATATCTGCCATGACTCTTGTCAGCACGGGGATCAGGCAGGGAATCCTGTCCTGTGCGCTCCTGTGTTGCTATGAATGAACCTTCATGTTGGAGCCCTGCTCCTCGGAGGCCAGAGAGGGCCTCAGATATCTCCAGGTTAATCTGTCTCTCTGGCAGACTCCATGTCAGCCGTGTCCCAGCTTTGCCAGGTCCTCAGCCCTGTCTGGTGTGTTCGGTGCCATCGCTTCCCAAAGGCTGAGGTGCCTTTGGTGTTGATGGCTCTGCCTTTGCAAGTCCTCACCCAAGATGAGTTGACACCTGGTGTCTCTCTGCAGGTAGATGTGAGGTTAAGGACATCCACCCCCCAAGCAGTCCATGGGTGCTGTGCCAGCAGCAGTGCTCACACCAGGCTGATGCACCTGGTGTAGGTTCAGGATCGGGAGGCCCTGGAAGCTCTGCAGTCAGGACAAGGCACACTAGGAAATGCTGAACTGCTTGTCAGTTCCTGTAGTTTCCAGTGAGGAATTGCAAGTTAAGCAGTATAAATATTTTTTTCCTGAAAGTGGCCTGTTGCTGTGTTTGTGCCAGTAAATAAAGCATCACCCAAATCTGAGCACAGAAACACAAAGGTCAATCCTGGCAAACTGTTTGAGCAGTCTTCAGCACACTCTTAGCCTGGACTGGGTATGCCCCCTCCAAATGCCTTCCTGGGAATATGGCAGAAGGCTGCAGGGTGTCTCTAAAAAGCCTTTGTGATAGGAGCCACCCTGTGTAGAGCATTTAACTACATGAGCTTGACCTGACCCTGTAGCTAATTCCGTGCTTAGTCTCAGGACCAGAGAACAGCCTGAACAGACCCCCTCGCTGTTTCACCTGTGTTAGGTGCAGGGTTTTAGTGGCTTTTCACTCTTCTCCTGTGTGGTAAGTGTTCAAAAGAGGAGAGTGCCTGCTGAGCTTGCTCCAGGCTCCTAGCAGCCCCTGGGAGAAAATATCTGCACATCTGCTTGTAAGCTGGTCTCTGCTTCTGGAAAACTCAAATACAGAAAGAACCATTTCTTCCAGGACCTATGCAATGCTGCATTTTCTACCTCGTAACACTGAGCTAAAGCTTGCTTTGAAAATCCACCATCCCCTGTGCAGAGCCAGCCCAGCCATGTGAAACATACAGATTTTTTTCAGGGTAGCTTTCTCCTCTCCTGGCAGCATGGTAGATCCGGATTTATCTGATCAATTCAATAAAACAGAATTGGTTTATCCAGTCTGACCTCCAGGCAGGACCTTGAAACACACCCTGGGTAGGATCTTGGACAGTTTCCTCGAATTAAAACATGTCTGCAGAACATTGCAGGCTCTTCCAAGTGCTAGAGCAACAGAACATGTTCACAGGCTGCTTGGGGTGCAAAAAACCACCAAAACATATCCAGGCCCAAAAAATGGCTGTGATAAGAGCTGAGGAGTAGTGGGTGGAGACACTGAAGGAGAGACTGAAAACTCCTGTTCATTTTTGAGGGCATCTGGGCTTCATGGCTGCTCTTATAACATTGCACAATGGTATTGGTGGTGTTCCCACCCAATGTCCTTGCTGCAGGGGGGAGATCATCCTGAGAAAACCACAGATCCCATACAGTTTATTTATTTATTTATTTATTTATTTATTTATTTACTCATTTGTTTATCAGTGGATTTGGTCTTTTGTAGGATGAACACAAGGTCCTCCCTAAAGTGGGAGGTGAGGAAAGACAGAGGGATGGTTCTGTTCAGGCAGGGGATGTCATGACTGGTGATACCTCCCTTTTTCCCCCAGCACTTTACCTGCCTTCACTTTGCCATCTGAAAAATGGCAGAGAACAAATGAGCAGCAGTTAAGTGCAAAAACACAGCATCTCACTGACCATTGGTGCTTCCTAACTGGTGTGTTAGTTGGGAGTCCTCCTTTTCAAAAGCAAATTTTTTTTCACAATTGTAATATTAATACACATCAGTGGCATGGAATTAAATAAAATAGACAGTAATTGCTGTGTCTGTCATACTGATGATTATTGGTTGGAAAGACCTAAAATAAATATTGGACAAATATAGTCTTTCAAAAGTGGATAGGTTGGGTTAATTCCTTCTATGGAGTTATTCCATCTCCAAGAGCTGTAAGTCTTCCTCTGTGTACTGACTTCATTTCCGAAGGTTTGTCCCCTAGTTCTTGTTTCATGCTCAGGAGGAAATTAATTTTTTTCTCTCCGGATGCTGAAGTGTTTGGGCAGTAGTTCCCACTCAGTATCAGGCTCCAGCCAAGCACCCCCCCAGTATTTTGACTGATGTGCAGAACTGAGCTGACATATGCCCAAAGGGTAGGCAAGCACTGTCCTCTGCAGATGCAGGCAGTGTGCTCTGAAGCTTTTTGAGGGGTAAATCAGGGGATAAATTCGTCCAAATTGCCTTTTTTTCCCCTCTTGGAATAATAACAGCAGAAACAATCAGCTAAAACAATTGCAAAACTGTTGACCAGACTCACACTTAGGACTTTGTAGGATTTTTTTTTAACTGTTTGCTGTTCTGATTTAATTTTGCTTAAACATCTGGGTTGGAAGAGCTGCTCAGGTGGGCTTTTAGTTGGGCGAAAGGTACTTGTGGAGCTTGTCAAAATTTTTCATGGTAGCTTATGACACCATCTCGCAAATTTGGAGGTTTATGAAATCTGTTTTTAGGACTTTACTATAAATTTGAGATGGAAGCTTGTTATTATCTGGAACAAAAGAAAAAAAAAAAGAATAATAATAATAATTTGGTGAAGAGCTGCTGAAGTTGAGTCAAAACTGAGAAGAGCCTTGTGGAGTGGCATCAGATGATCATTAAATGCCATAGCAGGGTCTGGATGAGGGACTGAGGCAAACCGCTTCTGTGCTGGTGCTTTGCTTCAGAAAATCACCCTAAGGATAATTTCAGAGTGTGTTGCAGCCCAGCAATGTTTTGCAGGCCTTTTAGACTTCTACATTTTTTTTGTTTAACTTTTTTTTTGAGCAGTTAACCCCTATTCAGAGTTCATCTCTCCCCCAAATTTTTCAAGCATATCTCCTCACTGTAATGTACTTCCCTCAGCAGGGATTGTGAAATAAGGGAAAAACTTGGGGGAAGGGGAGGGGAATTAAAAAATAAACTTGTTTACAGTTAAATCTGTGTAAATTTAATCGTGGCAACAGAGTTAGTTTCTGCTTCAGCCCATCCTAGGTTTTTGTCCCAGCAATGGTATTATTGGTATAAATTGGTAATTGGAATTGATATAAATACCTCTTTGTTCAAAACTTGGAGAAGGGTGTTTGTGGGGTGTCTTTTCAAGTGTTTTTTTCACTCATTGTGACTACTCTGCATCCTTTAAATCCAGCTTAATTTAAAATGTTGGGATTCAAACCTCATTTTGGGGATTATACAATGTAATTGGTTTGTTATATGATGAGTATTTGATGATCTTCACATTCATCATCTAATCAGGCAAAAAAAGCCATAAAATTATAATCCCAAAAGATGTTTAATAACAATTTAAACTATTGAAGGCTTTATTTAAGCACATTAGGGGATTATAAACTACTCCCTTTTAATGGTGCCAAGAGGTAGATTTGAGGACTTCAAACACCTTTTAAAAAACAAATTGCCATGATTTAAAAAAAAAAAAATGAATGGGCTGAGGATTTCTTTCATGTAAATCCCATAATTTAATCATTATTTTTAACTGCTTTGAAAACAATTTCCTTAAGAGGTTAAATCTTACTGAAAGGGGAGACTGAGCAGAAAGTAAAAGACATGGCTGAAAGATGTTGACTTTAAAGTGAAAGGATTTTTTCTGTTATATATCTGTATTTTTAACCTTTATTGATTACTTGATGCCATGATATGAAACAAGAAAATTTAAAATAA